ATATATATATGTATATATATATATACTTTTCTTTTTAAAGAATCTCCAAACAATAAAAATCTTACTGCTATTTTATACCGAAAGAGCAAGTTAAGTTTTAATATGTTTAATATCCGATATGCGTATTGTCAATATTCAATAAACAACTGACATGAAAGCATATCTCTTTTGCTGATAGTCTTGCATATCACTAATTAAGTGTTTTCATGCTGTTTTTTATTAATTTATAATATTTAGAAAAAAATATTATCAATATATGGAGAAATTATTACAGCACAGTTTGCAGTACCATACACGAAAGTCATAAAAAATTTTTTCAAGCATTAATATTAGCCAAAATATTTACATATTGTTCTTTACTAGAATTATTTTTAATATTTTAAATAAAATTTAAAAAAGAGAAAAATATTTAGAATTGTTATTATTAGGTCCTATTGATTTCTTAATAGTAAATACTCAGATAGCTAAAATTAGATTCCTGATGTTGTGTATTTCTACAGTAAGCTTGAAATATTAAAGAAAGCAGTGCGTGCATGCGTGTGTGTGTGTGTGTGCGCGCGCGCGTACGCGCGCGCGCACACACACTTTGTCAAAATGGATTTTATTTGTTTAAAATAAAAAACCTTTATATATTGCTCTTATTATTTATATTTGCAAAAATTAATAGTAATATGTATTTGAATATCCAGAACATTGAAGAGTGTCATACGTAACTTCATAAGTTTCTCATTAAAAATATAAAAATAAAAAGTTGAAATGCAAAATTAATTGTTCTTTGTTGTTCGGGAAAAATGGGAATCTAACGCGTCACATATACATAATGGAATTCGCACAAAAATATAAAAAATTTTAATTTAAAATGGATACTCGGATATTCATGCATTGACAGAAGGATTAAGGTTACAAAATAGTTGACGTTATACTCGTTATGATAATAAAATAATGACATAATATTATGATCCAAAAAGTACTTCTAAAAAGAAAAATTCATGTTCACTCATTCCAAGCCATACATCCGAGGTGTGTTCAAAAAATTCGATAAATGTTGAAATAAAAAAAAACCTATTACATTAAAAGGCAAATGATAATTTTTCCCCTTAAAAATACTTTTCCTCGCTTCTAATACACTTATCCCAATCATTCTTGCCACTTGCTAAAGCAGTACTGGAAGTCCTTTTTCATAAGTGCTTTTATTGCATTGTCGTGGCTGCTTCGGTGTCTTGAATTGATTTAAAACGTTTAAAGTAAACTCTGAATATTATAAAGGCTTATTAGAGCATTTAAGAAATGAAGAATATACGTAGAAAAAGGCATGA